GGGTTCAGTCTCCAGGTCGGGAAGACCCCCCACAGGAGGCCACGCACCTCACTCCAATACCCTTGCCTGGAGAGTCCCATGGACAGAGGGGCCTGGAGAACTGTCGTCTATTGGGTCACACAGAGTTGGACACGACTGAAGTGACAGCATGCACACGCCTGCGCGCAGCAGATGCTGGGCTGTAACACAGCACTCCGCAACGTGATGCCGACCTCGGATGCTGGCCCGTGTTCTGATGGCCAAGGTGTCAGCAACCAGCCAGTCCTAACCTACCTTTCCCCATGCCTGGCCACTTTTCAAAGGGAAAACCCCCTTGAAGGAGCTCTAGCGTGTACTCCAGCAGGGAGGATCTGGGTGTTACAGATATAGCTTTCCTTTACCAGATCAGAAGGGTGGAGAGGGGGCTGGCAGGCTGCCAAGAATGAACTAACGTCCCAAGTTTCAGCTCTTAGCTAAAACTGCTTCATTCAGGTAAACATCTATAGAAGCCAGGTGAGATGACTAACCCAACGGATGTACTTCTGGAAAATTCCAAGAAGAGAAAATTGGGAATAAGAGCAGATGGGAAAGGAGTTGAAAACAGTACAAAGAGAAGCCAGCTGAAATAGCTTAGAGTCCAGATGAACGACTGAGTTTAAAGAATGACAAAATATATTGTATTAAATTCTATTTAATTCCGTGCACCTTCCTAAGTGCGTGGGGAAAAGTGAATAGTCTATACTCTGAACGATATGGGAATATTTTCTTTGTGAGTGAGAAAGGAGATCAGATTCTCATCACTGCTTTTGTGTACCAGGATGGCGGTGTGAATTGTGTTACGGTTTCGCATATTCAAATAGGCCACTCCTGTCTTTGCTGTTGTAAGCAAGAGGTGAGCTCCTGCCTGAGTCTGGAGAAAGGTGGAGAAAACAGCTGGTGGTCACACTCAGAGGCCTGAAATCTCTCCAGTAGCATCTTTGGAAAATTGCCCTTCAAGGGAATCAGCCTGTATTACTTTCGGTAAACCTTGTTTGGGAAGCACTGGGGTCCCTGGTCTCTGTCGAGTGCGTTGCGTCAGTCCTCCTGGTCTTCGTAGCATATGCTTGACCTCGGGGCCACTCTGTTCAACCTTGGCTCAGGGTCCCAGCCCATCTTCCACCAAAGCTTGCTTTTAGGAATAGATCAACTATCAATTACAGACAGTGAGCTGTGATCCTATCTCTGAGGCATTTTCTTTCTTTATATTTTGATTTGTTTTTAAAAATTTTGAAAGATAACTTGGATCCATAAAAGTGCATTCAGTATATGCAGACAGAACCTGACCAGAATCTCTGAAGTCTCCCTCCCTTATTCCTTTAGCAAAAAACAAAACAACAACAAAAAGCCCTCTTCTCTTCCCACGCGAGGCAATCACTTCTTCAGGACAGCCTGCCTACCAGTGGAAGTCAGCATCCCTAAGAACCCAGTTTTGCTTTTGCCGTTGTTCAGTTGCTAAGTCATGTCTGACTGTTTGCGACCCCATGGGCTACATACAGCACTCCAGGCTTCCCAGTCCTTGACCAACTCCCGGAGCGTGCTCAAACTCATGTCCATTGAGTCAATGATGCCACCCAACCTTCTCATCCTCTGTCGTCCCCTTCTCCTCCTGCCTTCAATTTTTCCCAGTATCAGAGTCTTTTCCATCAATCCTTCCCATCAGGTGGCCAAAGTATTGGAGTTTCAGCTTCAGCATCAGTCCTTCCAGTGGACACCCAGGACTGATTTCCTTTAGGATGGACTGCTTTGGTCTTCTCCAACACCACAGTTCAAAAGCATCAATTCTTCGGTGCTCAGCCTTCTTTTTGGTCCAGCTCTCACATTCACACATGACCACTTGGTTGGACCATTTCATCAAGGAACTTGTGTTGCGTGCATTCTCTTCTTCCTGACTTATTTGGTTCCCTGAGCATTACTTCTAACTGTGGGTGGGATTGCACGTCTCCTGCATGGTGATTTTGGGCATCAGTGAGCAGATGAAGATGAATTATGGGTGTCCAGAATATGTTCTGAGTGTCTTACGATAGTTTAGATTGAGTGACCGTGACCTGGTGTGGAGCAGAGTTTTGGGTATACTAGATACACCTTGGTCTCGGGAGAAGCTCTGGGAACACTTTGTCTGAAGGGAGAGGATGCATCCTAGTGGACACCACATCAGGACGCAGGGGAATCCTTGGAGGTGGGACTTTCAGTGCTAAAACTAGGAAGATCCCAGGTAAATGTGGACCAGTGGGTAACCTGGGTCCTTGCCTCCTCAGATCCACCTCCAGTTGGGTTCTCTGTCTACTGTGTTAATTCTGGAATTTTTACCCATGGCTGCTCATTATTCCTAAAGGCTCTCCACACTCCTTCTGTGACAAAAATCCCTGTGAAGAAGCTATTGTATTATCTGCCTTAGGAAGGGAGATAACACACTAGAGAGATAAACTTCCTGATTTTGGAGGGTAAAATCCTGTGTAAAAACTGCTGAAGTGATCTCACTTCTTACGTTTTATGGTATTAACATATATAATAAAATGCAACAAAGGCAAAGTGAGGGTGGAGGGCTGGTAGGGGAGAATTAAAACTGTGTGTGTGTTAGTCATTTAGTCATGTCCGACTCCTTGCGATCCCATGGACTGCAGCCCACCAGGTTCCTCTGTCCATGGATTTCTCCAGGCAAGAGTACTAGAGTGGGCTGCCATTTCCTTCCCTAGGGGATCTTCCTGACCCCAGGATTGAACCCAGGTCTTCTGCATTGCAGGTAAATTCTTTACCATCTGAGCCATAGGGAAGTCCCTGAAATTAAAATTAGTGAGAACTTAACCCTCACTGAATATTATGCTAGTGATTATATGCATACATAGGAGACACAGATTTGATCCCTGGGTCAAGAAGATCCCCTGGAGAAGGAAATGATGACCCACTCCAGTATTCTTGCCTGGAGAATCTCATTGACAGAGAAACCTGGTGGAGTACAGTCCATGGGGTAAAGAGTTAGACACGACTAAGCGCAGCACAGGTAGGCAGGCATATATACATACACATCCACAAATATGTATATAAACCTAAGTATATAATATATTACATGCATATCTTAAATGGAAATATGAATATGATATAATTGATATGAACTCTTATTTTATGGATGTGAAACTGGGGGCTCAGAGAAATTAAGTTACTTGCTCAAAGTCACACAGCCATTACTTGATCCTTCATTTATTTCAAGTGTATTATGGTCTCGGTGGTGAGGGCGTCAAAAGCAGACCACACAGCTCGTCCTCAAAGCAGCGGGCTCCTCCTCGCCCTCCCACTCTACTCCCTCTCAGCAGGAGTAATTCTCCCCACTGCTTTTTAAAGGAAAAAAGCCACTGTATTGAAGCATGATTGATTGTTGGGTTGGTTTCATGGGTGGACACTTATCTCCAATCTCAATCACTTTTGGTGTTGCTTCTTGTATCTTTCCAGACATCCAATAACAAGCTAAGGTGGCTCTTTCTTGTTTTGCTTTTAGAGACGATCTGTAGCCTTCCTTTCACGAAAGGACAAGGCACTCCTTGGATGTCCAGTTCTCCATCCCATCCCCTACCACCCCCTTCTAATATGGCTTCAGTATCAATACACCCTCAATCTTGTTTTGCTCAATACTCAATACTGAAATCACTGTTGTTGTTTAGTCACTAAGTCATGTCTAACTCTTTGAGACCCCATGGACCATGGCTCGCCAGGCTCCTCTGTCCATGGAATTTCCCAGGTAAGAATATTGGAGCAGGTTGCCATTTCCTTCTCCAGGGGATCTTCCTTAAGCAGGGATTGAACTTGCGCCTCCTGCATTGGCAGGCAGATTCTTTGCCGCTGAGCCACCAAGGAAGTCTATTGAAATCATTACAACTAAGAGAATATTATTCACAGCCCAGCTATAAAGTGTAGTATGATACACATTTCCCTGTGCAATCTTCTCTGGAGTTAATCACCTTACTTTTTTCTTTTTGTTTTAATGCTCTCATCACTAACATATTCCTCTTATGATGGAGGCAGATACTCAACATCTTGTTCAGTATGCTGAAACACATCTGTCCCTCTGAGAGGATATTCATCTGAGGAGACTTCAAACGATCAAGATATTCCATTTTAGAATGAAAACATACACTGAAGATGAGGCTGGGGGGCGGGGGGTAAAAATGTATAAATAATGTGTAAGGCAAGGTCCGAAACACTATGGGGACTCCCCCGGAATTCCGGGGGTTAAGATTTCGCCTTCCAGTACAGGACTGTGGATTCATTCCCTGGTCGGGGAGCTAAGATGTCACAGGCCTGGTGGCCAAAGAAACCAAAACATGTACTAGAAGCAATATTGTAACAAATACAATAAAGACTTGAAAAATGAAAAATTGTTCATAGCCAAAAAAAACCCCAAAAACCAAAAACAAAAGTCACTATGAAACACTCTTCCTTCTGAAAGGGCCCACTCACCTATTTCGCCTGAGCACAGCAACCCTCGGCCCCGGCCAGAGCGACGTCTCTGTGCCACTCTCTCTGCCCTCCAGTAACTTGCTGTCTCCTCTTCTCTGGACTGCCTGCTGCTGCTCCTCACGACAGCTTCACACACACAGGGAACTCGGCTCCTCGAAGGGGAGGAACTGAACAAACAGCCCGGATCAGTGAGTGAGTCTGACAAGGATACCATTCCATGCCCAGAATACCGTTCGTGCCGCCATATACCGTATGAAGAGACTGTGGGGGCTCGTATCAAACTAAATAAAATTCCATGCTTAGCTTGGATTCATTAGAAAATATCTGCTTTGACTGTTTTGAATCAAGTCTGTAGCTAACACTCTGCACACTTCTTTGAATTTGCATTATAAAGGGCCTGAACATAACTCTATTTTAATCACATTATTTAAAATTATCATGGTCATTACAAAAGGAAGTAGGGAGTGTCTGAGTCAGAGGCTTTATATTTCAGAGTAATGCAAGCAACTCTCTCATACTCATCCAACCAGCAGCTAACTTCCTCTATGAAGAGAGTAAGGTAAATATTTCCAAAGCTCAGAACTTAAAGTCTGGCCAGACAGCTTACGAGAGAGACAGACAGAGAGAGACAGAGAGACAGAGAGACAGAGACAGAGACAGAGAGACAGAGAGACAGAGAGAGACAGAGAGACACACAGGGAGAGACACACAGGGAGAGACACACACAGAGACAGAGACAGCAGTGGGGCTGGGGAGAGAGGGCAGTGAGTGCATCTCTGCACCGAGGATCCGTCCTCAGCGTGGCCCTGGGTCCGCCCTTCTCCCGGCTTCTCTGTCTCGGGGCTCATTTGCAGCCACTTACCCTGGGGCACTGAGGACGGGGGCGCCTGCCACTCAGAGGGCATCCAAGACCACCCGACACATCATGTTCCATCTTGGAGAAGAGAAATAGGATCAGGGAATTAGGGACAAGTCTAGAATTCTATATTTCTGATGTTCTTATTTAAGGAATTACATGTTGGAGTATACACATTCTTGACATTAGAATTAAATTCTGTTTTAATTGTATCTCTCTACTTATTTGATTAGGAATTTATCAAAATTTTAAACTATGTTTTTAAAAAAAATGGAAAGATTTGAATGTATTACATTTGACTTACATGATAAGAGTAAAAATTAAGTCTGTTCAACTGTAGTTACAATTTTTTCCTCTATGTGTATTTAGTTCAATAAAAACAGGAGGCTTTTTTTCCCCTCAGTAATGTACCATGAAACAAGATTACTTTTTCTTGTGCAGAAAGAATTATCTTAAGAAGAAACAATATTTTGATCAAACAATAAGACACACAATTTATCAATTTTGTATAATACACTTAGATCCATGAAATATTTTCAATATAATTTCATGTTTTACTGAAAGTATTTGTCCCTGGTTTTTCTCATGCGTTAAAATTTATTTTTCTTACTTTTTAATTAGACTTTTAAAAAGCTTTACTGATAACATATCTTTTCTTTCTGTTTTGACACAAAAAGTATGTTAACAAAAGAAAGCAAGGCATAAAAAAATTTCTCAAGTTGAAATGTATCATAAGTAAGTAAATAGGCTTCAGTCTTCCTGGACTTTGACATCCTTAAGTTTGCTGTTTAGGATTTAAAGAACTTCATAAGTATTTGATTCATGCTAACTTGAAAATTATAAATTAATTCCATATCTGTGTATTATTTTTATAAGTACTTTTGCAGTTTTAGTGAAATAAAAGATTAATTTAAAGTTAAGTTTCTGTATGATTTAAAAAGAATTTTCCTTCGTTGCTGTATCTGCATAGTGGCATACTGGGGAGCACCATGCTGATACCTTCTTCTGTAGCTTGATGTAATTAATTTTCCTCTTCAGTTTAGTTATTTAACTGGGACCCAAATCATTGGGCATTTGTTGATGGCTAGTTGACATTTAATTATTTTTTTGTGTGTTTAATTTTTTTTTTAAGTTGCTGGAAGAAGAAATTATAAGAGAAAGAAAATCAGTTTTGGTAGCATGTTAATTTTCTAATATTAATTCTATGTCATCTGACAGAAATTTAGGTTGAAAAACAAGTAATTCAGCCATATATATTGGTACTTATGTGCCAGTGTGATTCAGTCTTTGTATCAGATGAGAGGAATGAAACTTACTTTCATTTCTGGAAACTATAAAGCACTTGCATAGAGGGAAAAAAAAAACTAAAAGTGGTGATGTGCAGTCAAACATACTTCTTGGCATTTATTTTCATAGAGTATGAACATGTCTGTACGAGAATATTTAACTGTATATTACCTAGAGCAGTTTATCATTTTAAAAGCTATTGCTTGAGAATGACTAGATCCAAGAAGTTCTTGGCTGATGTTTCTCTGTAATGATTATTTATCTAGTATGGTTTCTCTGCCATAGACTTTACCTAAGCCTTAAAAATATGTACTTAATTGTTTAAATGAACACATTCCTGTGTAGCTTCTCTTCTCTTCAATACGACAACAGTTTTGTGAAAAGTCGAGAGGATGACTAAGAAATTAGAAAATAAAATTTTGTGATTATTGCTTTTTTAGAAAGTGATTTAGAGAATAATTTTTAAAAACATGAAATGTCTCTTTACCACCCGGGGGTAAAATAGTAAAAGTTGCATTTATAAAACAACAAGAACAGTTGGGACTTGATTGAGGAAAAATGTACTGAAGAGTGTGTTTTTGTATTTTGGATTATGAAACTACCAAATAGCGTTCAGACCCCCAGTGGACCACTCAGTTAGGTCCCCCAAGAGGGTTTGTATAAATATGTCAATGTGCCTACAATGCTTTATTAAATGTAATTTCCTCTGTAAATATTTAGAAAGAATTATTATGGCTTTGCTTTTGAAGTTACTTTCCTAAGAGTGACTAATTTCATTTCAATACTATGATTTTTTGGCAACCAACATGAAGTCTTGAAAATTATTTGAAGAGAGAGAATGTAACACATAATTTTCTTCCTGAAATATAGTCCCTTGAATAGACTGTCTAATGTAAAATTTGTTTTACTGTAATAACACTTCTGGGGCTTCCACGGCAGCCTAGCAGCAAAAAGCACGCCCGCCCATGCAGGAGACGTGGGTTCCAACCTGGGCTGGAACATCTCCCAGAGAAGGCGATGGCAGCCCACTCCAGTGTTCTTGCCTGGGAAATCACACGGACAGAGGAGACTGGCAGGCTACAGTCCAGGGGTTCACAGAGGGTCGTATATGACTTGGTGACTAAATAGCAACAGCAGCAACAGCATTTCTGCTCTATTTCAGCTTAGAAATCTGGTGATGCGAGAAATAGTAGGCCCCATAAATGTGTTTGCTTGGGACTCAAAACAGAATTATCAAAGATCACTGAAGCTGGAAATTCCACCTCCAGGAACAGTGAGACTCTGCCCTGGATGTGGGTATGAGGGCACAGGCAGAAATATGGAAACATCGTGCTAAAGAAGAGCAATGTTTTTTAAAAAGATACCATAATATTTGTTGCCAGAAGAGAGTCTTAGAGCTTTGATAGCAAGAATACTTGTCCAAAAGAAATTTTTCTTTTTGTTGTGAGTTATTTGATAGTTACATCCAAGGTTGAAGAATGAAGCCTCAGATTAAAAAAATTAAAGAATATAAAAATCATATGTAGACAACTGTGTGTAAAACAGACAGCTAGTGGGAGGCTCCTGGACAGCACGGGAGCTCAGCTTGGTGTCTGGTGATAACCTGGAGGGGTGGAACAGTGTGGGTGGGAAGGAGACTCAGGAGGGACGGGATATATGTATACCTACAACAGATTCAGGGCTTCCCAGGTGGCGCTAGTGGTAAAGAGCCCCCCTGCCAATGCAGGAGACATAAGAGATGCAGGTTTGATCCCTGGGTCAGGAAGATCCCCTGCAGGAGGGCATGGCAACCCACTCCAGTCTTCTTGCCTGGAGAATCCCATGCACAGAGTCTGGCAGGCCACAGTCCATGGGGTCACAAAGAGTCGGACACGACTGAAGTGACTTAGCATGCACGTTATTGGACAGTGGAAACTAACACAGCTTTGTAAGGTGATTATACTCTAACTGAAAATAGAAACTCCGTGACACCCACAGAAAACCTACTTGGAGCTCTTTCTTTTCTCCTTCTCCAGCCTGTGCTCCGTTTCACCATGGCCCTCCTCGCTGCCGCAGACGCAGACTTTTGCTTCAACCTGTTCAGAGAGATGGACAGCAATCAAGGAAGTGAAAATGTGTTCTTTTCCTCTCTGAGCCTCTTCACTGCCCTGGCCCTGGTTCGTTTGGGGGCAAGGGGTGACTGTGCTTCTCAGATCGATAAGGTCAGTCTTGATTGCATCACCAACCATGACTTTTGTGATCGATCATCATGGCGAGCTGTTCTTCCCAAGAGAGTATTGCACTGCCATGGTCTCATGTAAAGGAAGAGCTCTCAGTGGATCCCGTCCAGGGGGAGGAAATAACGCAGCTTGCAACCCGTGCTCTTTAAGCTGGAACATTTCCAGAACTGCAGCTTTGATCCTGTGCCTTAGTGTGGGTCTTGAAGTGTGTTTCCCATGCCAGCTTCACCTGGAGACATCAGTAGGAATTCAAAATCTTTGGCTCCAACTCAGACCTACTGAATCAGAAACTATGGGGATGGGGCCCAGCACTTGAGCTCTGATGGACATTCCAGGTGCATACGGAAGTAGAGAGCCTCAGCCTGAGTGATGGTGGCTCAGTGGTAAAGAAGCTGCTGCCAATGCAGGAGACCCAAGAGACCTGGGTTAATCCCTGGGTTGGGAAGATCCCCTGGAGAAGGGAATGGCAACCCACTCCAGTGTTCTTGCCTGGAAAATCCCATGGACAGAGGAGCCTGGTGGGCTACAGTCCATGGGGTTGCAAGGAGTCAGACAGGACCAAGTGACTGAGCATGCACGCATACCTGAGTAATATGGATGAGAAGGAAGAGCCAGAAAGTAATGCCAGTGAATTCCTAGCTTAGGCCCTGGTGACCTGCCCATAAATGACATGATAGTACAGTCTGGATGATGGCAGCCCACTAGGATGCTTGTCACACTGTCGCCAGTATCACCTTCCCCACCACATTTAGAAACAGCTCATTAACTCACTCCTGTCCACTACCCTGAGCGAGACCACAGGGAGGCGGAAAGGTCATGGTTTCTCTCCCTCCTCTCAGAAAGCTGCCATCGAAGTTCAGTGGGTCAGCAGCAGGTGAGATACCAGGGCCGAGCTGCATGTTGAAACTTCGATACCCAAACTTCTGCCCACCAATTCCTCCCGTTATTTTAGTTCATAAACCAGTGCAAGAGGGAATGGATCCCTGCTGTAACCTTTCATACTTAAGTACGTGTTGAAGGTTATTTGTGCAGTCACGGAAGCTGGAAAGACTTGTTTCACTCTCTGGACTGCTCCACCAGTGACTGATGCTAGGGAATAACCAGAGTCTAAGAACGCTGCTGTCCTAGAGCTGGAGCGGTTTCTAAGCTGGTGCGCTGAGCACCTCGTGCTAACGCAATGATAACAGCCAGCTGGGAACGCCATCAGGGTCAGGCTCTGGGATAAGTTCCCCACGCATCTTACTTGATGCTTACACTAACCCTGGAGTTGGCATCACTTCCCCGGTTTTACGCAGGGGTTGTCACACCATCTCTGTGCTAGTAAACTCAGGAAGGTCTTATTCTAAAGCAGAGTTTTTCAACCTTGGCTCTACTGACCTTCTGGGTCAGAGAATTCTTTGTTGTGAGGGGCTGTTCTGTGCTTTGTAGGAGGGTTTGCAGCACTCCCCTGCCCCTTCCTGTTGGATATCATCAGCACACCTCTCTCCCATCATGAAAATAAAAAGTGTCCCTAGACACCACCAAATAGCCCCAAGAGGAAGAGCTGTCTGCCCTAAGTTAGCAAACTGAAAGATAGCTCAAAGTACATTATCATAAAGCTTCAATTACCTTGAAGCCAATATTTTGATAAATGAGGGTATTGACTTTGGAAAAATCAATCTAGCAACTAATAAAAAAGATTTCCATTCATTATTTAAAATGCATAATGTTTTAGAAGCAAGTGAGTCTGTTTCTGGTACATCCACATATTCTCAAATAGCTGACCTATCTAGTGGTGATCTTGGGGAATTTTTTTTTTTTAAAACAGCTGCAGGAATTTAAAAAGTTAGTTTGACAGAAATTTTGGTCAAAAGAAGGGAAGATTCCTTTCTCCTTGCTAAGCTTCAGTTAATTAAGTTAATTACTAGGCTGTTTTTATGAGGTAGTGAGGAAAAGGTTTAGAACTCAGAGGAGCAGACACCATTGAAAATGTTTTTCCACAAAGCCGTATATATTTTACTAAAGATAACATTACATAACAATCAATATGTCTTCCAGAGTTTTACCAGCCTTCTCTTGGTTAAATCTTTCTCAAAGATGACAGAAATGGACCCTCCAACTTCCAGGCCTTATTTTAGAAAGGAAATATGCCGCCCAAATATGAACTTTGGGCAGCCCAAGTTCAAGTTCAGTGAACAAAGGCTGGTTAGTGCTTCCCTCCATCTCGTACTGAGGTGACTGACGATACAGACTTTTCTTTGCAACTTTTCCTTTTTCAGTTCTGGGGGTACTGAGGGGTAAACTTTTAACATGAATGTTACAAATCAGTAAGAATTAAAAAAAACTGCTCTTGGTGACCCCATGGACTGTAGCCCACCAGGCACCTCTGTACATCAGGATTTTCCAGGCAAGAACACTGGAGTGGGTGGCCTTTCCCTCCTCCAGGGGATCTTCCCAACCCAGGGATCGAACCCAGGTCTCCTGCATTGTAGGCAGATTCGTTACCATCTGAGCCACCAGGGAAGCCCTATAATAACATAATCCAAGTAATAAAACTCATGCTTTTGTTTCTTCTCCTTGTGATTACAAAATAAACTCCATGGGAAGGAGGGTCCTTGTTGAACCTTCCTTTCTTAGAGACAAATTAGCAATTTCTTTTTTTTTTTTGAGATTTTTTTTTTGCTTGATGTGGACCTTTTGTAAAGCCTTTATTGAATGTGTTACAATATTGCTTCTATTTTATGTGTTTTGGCCACACATGAGGCATGTGGGATTGTAGTTTCCAGACCAGGGATGGAATCTGCAGCTCCTGCATTGGAAGGGGGCATCTTAACCACTGGACAGTCAGGGAAGTCCCTTAAATCAGTAATTTCAGTGTTCTGTTGATGAATCATAGTCACAATGAAACTGACCACAAAACTGTGAGGCAAAATTATGAACCCTGGAATATTCTAGTCAACTTGATCAGCTGGGAAGAGGTAACCACAATATCCATGAAGGCACTGAAGGATGAGAAAGGGTGTTGATGCTCTTTCTGCTCCACAACTGCCTAGAACTAGGGGAATATGACACCCAGGCTTCCAGGCATAGTCCTTGATGTCTGCAAAGGCCCCATTTGTGCTTTTTTAATTTGCAGTAGAATGAATGTATATATCAGATTTGCCTTGTAGACTTTGCCTTGTCTCTCATTCCATCTCATACTATCAGCCTAGATTAAGAGGAGGTAGAAATTAAGGTTAGGTTCCAATTCTTTGTGGCATTTAAAGACTAACAATGATACTAATAGTCTTTATAAGTTTTCATATCCCTTTCTGAGCTGTTTCATTCTCCCCAAGCCAATAAGATGGTGCTAGAATTAGGGGCCTGAGGCTTTGAAGTAGAAATCCCTCGCAGAGGCCCTGATAGCAATGTTGGTTTAGTTAAATCCCCACGTGTGTCTCTTGACCTGCTCAGAACAGTCCTCCCAACCTTCTCCCTAGTCCCACCCCTCAAACACACACAGCCTGGAAGGCCCCTTAAGGCAAAGCTACATTTTTTTACAGAAAATTCAACCGATGAGATTCTAAGAGTCACAAACTGAGACAATAGAACAAACCCACCATTGCCCGGCAGTTGTTTAGATTTTTCAGATGACTGGTTGGGGGAATATAAGATAAACGCTACTCCCGTCACTGTCCATCCATGCCCAGGAGGCAGGATGCACTCTGCTCCAGACGGCTGCGAGTGATTCTCATACGCATGGTACATTTTACTACTTCCTATTAATGGAGCTGTTTTGCATTTCAGATCCCAGAGACAGAGGGCCTGGAAAAAGACAGATAAAGTGTAGTAAGAAATCAAGATGGGTATAGGAGCAATTATTAGAATAATGGGGTTATTGAGAGCTGTGCTGAAAAAGGAAAACCCCAAACTGCTCAATTTCAAGTAATTTTTTTTGTTTGTTTAGTCACTCAGTCATGTCCAACTCTTTGTCACTCCATGGACTGTAGCCTTCCAGGCTCTTCTGTCCATGGGATTTCCCAAGCAAGAATACTGGAGTGGGTTGCCATTTCCTTCTCCAGGGTATCTTCCAACCCAGGGATCAAACCCATGTCTCTTACGTCTCCTGTGTTGGCAGGAAGATTCTTTACCACTGAGCCACCAGGGAAGCCTCTCAAATAATTGCAGGATCAAAAATTATATCTATCAAATCCCAATTTTTCTTCCTATTTAATATTTGCTAGATACTCAGTAACTAGTTTTCCCTTTTATGTCTTAAAAAAGTTTTTTATTAATTGGTGGCACCAGGCCTTAGTTGTGGCACCTGGGATCTAGCTCCTTGATCCGGACTCAAACCTGGGACTCCTGGCATTGGAGGTACAGAGTCTTGGCCACTGGACCACCAGGGAAATCGCTTGCTTTTATGTCTTGGTGTGTATGTAGTTAGCCCCAGTCTTGCCTCCTGTTTCATTAAACAAAGTTTTCATTTCTTTATGAGACTATTTCTGATTCTGGTTCAGGTTTAATCAGTGAGTAATTATTAAATTGATCCCCAAGAATGAGCAAACCAAAACTATTAAACATATTTCACTTTGTAGCCATTTATTTATGAATTCTCCCAGTTTGTGATGCTTTCCCCAATGAATAGTCTTGTTCTAAACACATCAATAGGACAGTTGCACAGTTCATTGCCGCCCTATGTGCTAACAAACAAATACACAAATACAACCACCAACAGTGAAATCTCCACTTTTTTTTTATTAGTTCTCTTCTTGTTTGCTACTGCTTGCTGACTGCTTTCCTTGCTGCCTCTTTACAGGTGCTTCACTTTAATACCTTCTCAAGACCTGGGAACTCTGCTGATACTCAGGTAAAGACAATATGTTCTTCTAGAGAAAGAGACTGTAAGAATCAATTTAGAAAAATCCCCATCGCACTAATATATTTCTATGTTCTCTCCCCTTTAAAACAAAGGATCATGTGTCATTCAGATTTCTGTATTGTGGGTATTCCAGATACATTTTTTGATAATTTATTTGTAAATTATCAAGTAAGCCAATATTTTACTTACATGTTAGCTAAAATTTGGCAAGATAGTGTGAAACTAAATGTTTGCATTTTATCCTTTGATATTCACAGTCAACTTACATTGGTAAAATGAATTATTTAGTACATGCATTAGACAAATTCATTATCTTCTGTTAATAGTTTTATTTTAAGGTTATTTATTTATTTCACTAACTCCTTTAATTAACTTTGATCACAGACACTATTTTGAGAAAGGGTGAAAAATTTTAGATGTATGTGACACTGTTTCCTGCTTTAATAAGCATCATTGCTTTTAAATTCTTTTATGATAATATTATACATGTTTTATTTCATGTGTAAAAAGAGTAGACATATCTTTCCAGCCCAAGAATAATTTTTATACATCTTTTTAACAGCAGCCAGGACTCCAATCTCAACTGAAAAGAGTTCTGTCTGATATAAACACATCCCACAAGGATTATGAACTCAGCATTGCAAATGGACTTTTTGCAGAAAAAGTATTTGATATTCGAAAGGTAAGTGCAGGATGTTAGATGGTTATTTCTGTTATGAACCTGAGTCTTGTTCAATTCATCATCTGAATAAAGGCTTGTACCTTTCCATGGGGCCATACCAAGGTGATATTTATTTTTCCTGTCACTATTAATTAGGTTCCCAGACGCTTCTCAATATTATCACTTTATTTCCAAAGTACGACTTTTCTTCACCTGAATGATCACATATTCAGGGTCACTAGACTGACATGCTCCAAGACAGGGAGAGCTTGCCACTGGCAGCCATGTCCACTGGAGTTAGAATTGGGCTGGGAGGAGCAGACAACGCATTTACGGTTGTCTATGGGCAGTAGAGAAAGTCTATCCACCTTTCCTTTGAGTTTTCCGTCTTCTAGAACAGTTCTTCATCCCCAGTGCTGAGCTCACCGCCCTTTTTTTCTCAGCCATGCCCTTCCATCTCTCCTCCCAGTTACTTATCTTTTCAACAAGATCACTCATGAAAGGGGGCTTCCCCAACGGCTCAGCTTGGAAGGGATCCACTTGCAATGCAGCAGACACAGGAGACATGGGTTCAGTCTATGGGTCAGGAAGATCCCTGGAGTAGGGAATGGCTACCCACTGCAATTTTCTTACCTAATCCCATGGACAGAGGAGTCTGGTGTGTACAGACATGGTGTTGCAAAGAGTTGGGCATGACTGAGCACGTGGCACACACTTATAAAAGAGTTCTTGGTAAGAGACATAGTCGTATAAGACTGGCCAATGGTAGAATTGCAGCTAAGACTCAACACAGGAGATGAATAACTTGAGGTCAGCAGCCTGATTTCTGGTTCTACTACATGGTGTTTGAATTACCAATTCACTCATCATGTAATTCTCCTCATTCAAAGACGAGCAAGAACCAGAACACACTCTTGCATCCTGGTGTGCCTGACCCATCGTTGCTATGACAACCAGAAGCTGGTAGCACAGTTCAAGCAGACACAGTGGCCACGATTCTCTGGGGGAAGTCTGTTCTCCCTTTTAATTCTCCACGTCTCACACAACTATAAAACTCCACCCGGTGACACATCTGGGCTGGTCTCCGCTTGCATCTTTTCCAGCTCTCTGTGTTCCACCCAGTCATGGACGCTTCGTCTGTCTGTCACCCACTCAGATTCTTTGCCCTTTCCAGCACCACTCCCGAATTGTTTGGCAACTTGTCAATTATGAAGCGTTAGGTCACTCTGCTTCTCATCCTCCCAAAGGCATCCCACACAAGTTTCACGGGAGCCACCATGAGCCTCGGCCCACAGTTTGAGTCTCAATGCACACGGACGCTGCTGCGTTCCTGAGGAACCCTCAGCCATAGCCTGGATGCTGACGTGTCTGTCATGGTGCTGTTTATGGTGGCTCGTTTCCATGTTCCTTTTTCTGACTCTCTTTGCAATGTGCTCAGAAGCACAGGAAAGGTGAAATCTAATCAAGAACAGTGAAGACAAGACAGCCGGTTTTTTTCCTCCTAAACATTCATAAGTATAATAAGTTATTCTATAAACTACTTTTGATTTAAATATACCTATCAGCAAATTTCAATCAGATAGATCAGTACAAAGACAGATAATCTCCAAGCTTCTTACATTTCTTCTTATAACACTTTTTAACTCACATTTGAGTATGGGTTCAAATAAGAGGATACATATTCTACTAGAATTGATAAAGATAATATTGTGTAAATAGTCTCTGTGAAAAGTATGGTATTTTTTTTTCATTTATTTTTATTAGTTGGAGGCTAATTACTTTACAACATTGCAGTGGTTTTTGTCATACATTGAAATGAATTAGCCATGGATTTACATGTATTCCCCATCCCGGTCCCCCCTCCCATTTCCCTCTCCACCCGATCCCTCTGGGTCTTCCCAGAAAAGTATGGTATTATAGAAGACCCAAACACTCTCTCTGATCCCATGTTCTACCTCCTCCCCCAATCCTTGCTAAATGTGCCTTGGATAGGACCACTGTACATGTTATTCCATACCTGATTCTGCCACTGTTTTGAATAAACTTAGTGTCCCTGTGGATGATTCAGCTTCCACAGTTTCCTGACCTTCTCTCTACACCATTATAGATACCTGAGCCACACCCTGAAACTCATCAGCGACCTGAAGTCTACAACTCCGGTTTCCAACCCAACCCCAACGCCCCCCCCCCCCCAATCCTTCAACCCAAAACGACCCGTCCGCAACCCCAAAGAACCAATCCCCCCCCCGAACCCCCCAACTTCCCCCCCCCGCCCAACCCCCCCCCCCCAACCCCAACCCCGCAACAAGAAAACTGAACTACTGAACTGCTCTTGCCATTCCCTCCCCGTTCTCTCCTCCCAGCGAAGCCCTGAACCAGGGTCGGTGCTGTGACTTCACTCACAGTTCTGCCTGGGCTGCAGAAGAATGCGTGTGGGAAGCCTGGGCGTGTGCAGTTACCACCACCACGCGACGTGGCGGTCTCCCCGCCGTCCCAGTCAGATGTTCTCTGTGCTGTCCAACGGCTAGCTTTGGTGTTTCATTCCTGACAGCAGTTTCTGAAAACTCTCCTACTTCTCTCAGTTTCCCAACAACCCCTTACTACCACCATCAGTTTCAGTTGAAGTTCTTGTGTTCTACTTGACAAAGAGAATAGAGGCAGGATTCATATCCCAACCCATTTGCTGATCTTTCCCCCTCTTTCCATCAATTTCAGAGGGAACAGTTTTCCTAAAAAGTCAATTCCTCCACTGCTTTCTTGCCTCCTACCCCCTTCCTTGGTGTTATCATTTCATCAATGTTCTTTATTGGGCTTTCACTACACTACCGTCTTCTTTCTCATAGCATATAAATGTATGTACAAGGAACCTTTTTTCTAAAGTTTTTCTTTAGAAGCTGCTTAATGATTCTCCTTCCCATCTTATTGTTTCTCACTCTGAAAATGTAAACTTGAAAAATCCAGCTTAATGAAAGAATAATATGTACTCTCGGAGTCCATTCTCCACCCCCCCTTTTACTCCTCAATCCATTGCAATCTGGCTTCTATGTTAAATGCGCCCCTGAAATCCTTTTTATGAAGTTGACTGCTGCCTTCCATGTGGACACCCAAGCTATGAACACTTTGCAGTTTTTATCTTATTTGCCTCTTCATAGTATTCAACATGAATGATGTTCTCTGAAACTCTCCCCTCTCATTGTTTTTATGGTATTGATTTCTCCTGGTTTTCTACTCAGTCTCTTTATTTCATCTCAGTCTCTTTTGTTTATATTTGTTCCTCCAGGCAGCCCTAAAGTACTAGTGTCCTTTAAACTTTCTGTCCTCAGCCATCTTCCGTTTTCAGTTGACTTTCTCACCCAAGGAGAGATTGCGTGTTCAAACAGAGTATAGTTCTTTAGCCTTGTTCTCCCTGCCTCTGCACACTCTGGGGCTGTGCCTGCCTCCTGCCAGTCCCCAGACGGGCACCTCCAGACTCTCATGTGCCATCCCTTCTGTCCTCTGACTTCTCTTTCTTCTGTGTTCTCTCTCAGTGAATTATCCACCAAGTATTTGGGTCAAGTTTGTCTTCTCCTTTTCCCTAAGCTTCACAGTCCCTTAGTGAAGAAGACTTATTAGGTCTTCCTTCTACTTTTCAAAAGAAAGGCTATATTGAAATAATCTGAAACTTACAGAAAAGTTGCAAGTATTATAGAGAAGAAAAATTTTTTTTCCTGAACCATTGGAGATCCCTAATCATAGTTGAAATCTTTGGTGTAATCCTACAAACAATGAGATTCTCCTACATAAGTAAGCACAGCGCAACCATCATAATCAGGAAATTCACACTGTTATATCATTACCAGCTAATCTTTAGATCCTTTTGAGTCTAAACAATCATCACTACATCATCCCATAGCAAAATAGTTTACTTCAGAATCATGCATTGTGCTTTGTTGGTATGTATCTTTAGTGTCTTTCAATTTGGAACAGTTTCCTAGCCTTTTTTTGACTTTAAGGATCTTGACACTTTCAATGATTATTCATAATGTCCAGTTTTAGACTAGTTATATTTTAGAATGTCCTTCAGTGTGAATCTGTTTGATGTTTCTTCATAATTAGAGTCATATTTTTTCCAGCTCTATTGAGACATAATTAACATATAAACTGTGTAAGTCTAAGGTGTACAAAAAGTTGATCTGATACTCTTATATGTCATAAAAGTCTTCTCTGGTGCTCAGACGGTAAAGAATCTGCCTGCAGTGTGGAAGACTGGTGTTCAATCCCTGGGTCGGGAAGATCCCCTGGAGAAGGGAATGACAACTCACTCCAGTATTCTTGCCTGGAGAATCCCGCGGACAGAGGAGCCTGGTGGGCTACAGTCCATGGGGTTGCAAAGAGTTGGACACGACTGAGCAGCTAACACACATATGTTGCAAAATGGTTATCACCATTTCTTTAGATCACTCCTCAATCTGATTTGATAGAAAACATCACAGGTGTTGTTTTATTTTCATCATATTATCCTTATTGCTCCTCTGGCAGGATTTTGATTAATCCTATTGCTGACAGTGTTATCTTTGATCACTTGATTGAGGTGATATCTGCTGGGTTTCTTGAACAGTTTTTCAGTAGGACGAGGATGACACAAACAAGGGGCAAGAGGTAGGAGGCTCCTGAAATATTTACGGTGAGAAAGCAGCGGTGAAGCTGAGGGGGTGCGTCTCAGCCGTAACCTGTGTTGGTCTCAACGCATTTCAAGTGTGCTTCTATGCAAATTCAACTTCAAGTTCTCTGGTCCTCCCTCCCAGCCATAGTCCTTCACCTTTGAGGCAGGATGTAGCCCCCGAGTAAGGTAGTGGAAATGAGGGGACAGTTTCAAATGTATATTTCTTGTGGTGCTTAGTTGGTGGTGATTTGTAAGTACAAGAGCTATGTTGATTACTTATAGAGCTGTATATCATTTATATTTATAGGACTATATTGAGTGTGCTAAGAAATTATATAATGCCAAAGTGGAAAGAGTTGACTTTACAAATGATGTGGAAGACACCAGATATAAAATTAACAAATGGATTGAAAACGAGACCCATGGTGAGTGCAAAGCCCTGGTTTTCTGCAAGATTGTCAGTTATATGTGACTATTGAGAACTCCCAATGTTAAAGTTGGGAGTCTTTTGTATATATGAGAAACTGTGCCTGCTTATCAGAAGTAATGATTGCTGTTATTTAAAATTGCTCTAGGTTTTGTCCAGGGAATTCCCAGGTGGCACTATGGTAAAGAATTCACCTGCCAATGCAGGAGACACAGGTTAGATCCCTGGGTTGGGAAGACCCCTGGAGGAGGAGATGGCAACTCACTCCAGTATTCTTGCCAGGAAAATCCCATGAACAGCAGAGCCTGGTGGGCTATAGTCCATGGGTCTCAAAGAATTGGACACAGCTGAGCATACACACACATAGATTTTTATGACACTCTGTTGAAAAAATAAATTTAATTTTAAACTCTCTTCATTTATCAAAATTATATATCTGGCAATGGTGGTTCCTTCCATAAAAAAGCATACTTCTTTATTGACAAGTCTCTTTCCAACTAAAAATGAAATTCAGCTAATAGTCTGGTTTAGTACCAAACAAAGAAATCTATTTATTGTTTTCTTAGTCAATGATTCCAAAGCTTGTCATTTCTTTATCTAAGAAATTGCCCTAATTTATACTCTGAACAATATATATATTTTCTGAGTTTGGTTCCATTTAAAAAATATGAGACATGTAACTTGCACCCTTAAGTACAAACATACAAAAGCATATAATTATTCCAGAAAGTAAGAATACAGTGGCTCAGTTTTGCTTTTGCTCATTCATTCATCATTACTTCAGTAGTGCTAATTTGACCATTAGCTACCATGTATTTCAAATATACTCTTCATAAATCAAAAAACTATGCAATTACTTTTCTAATGTTCAGTCGCTCAGTCGTGTCTGACTCTTTGCAACCCTAAACATGCCAGGCTTCCCTGTCCTTCACCATCTCCTAGAGTTTGCTCAAATTCATGTCCATTGAGTTGGTGATGCCATCCAACCATCTCATCCTCTGTCGTCCCCTTTCCTCTTGCCTTCCATTTAGTGTTAAAGTATTTTGGCATATCAGATTACTACTACCTTTCTTTATTTGGAGCAGTAATTTATTTTCCCTTCTTCCTTTCTCATGCAAATCTATGTATAATTATTCTCACTGTGATGAGGGCATGGACTCAATAATTATTTAGAGGAACACTTCAAAATGATGTCAATATTCCAATAAACCTACCTTGGTCTTATTAGGTTTTATTCCTCCTCCTCCCACCACCTTCCACTCCCTCTTCAGTCCTACACACACTGCCAGAGTCCTCCTTTAGAAAGGCAAATCTGATCCATCATGACCATGCCCTTTTTTGTGTTTCAGTGAATCTTGAACAATGCTTTTCCATCGCCTTCAAGATAATAAAAAATTCTTATCAGACTTTCCAAGCTCAATTATCTGGCTCCTGCCACCAACCTTTCCAATCTTACTCTTCCTATTGAATCAGAATAAGTTAGGATTTTCCCAAATACAGTTAGCTCTTCGAAGCTTCCAAGTTTTGAATAAAGAGTCCCAACTTTTTGGAAATTCTCCCTGGCGCTCACCTTGCCCTTAGCTCAAGCAGGTGGCCTGGCCATAGACACTGTGTTTCCACCCCACACTGAGCACAGGGCTGTGACCCCAGGATGCTGCAACTGCATTAAGGTGGTGCCCCCACTGCACTGGACTTGTTAATGCACATTCATGAGGCCAACACACAGTGAAGCCAAACAAACTGAACCGTCAGTTTGGAAGCAGATAAAGGTTTACTGCAGGACCAAGTAAGTGGTCCCTGTGGTGGACCGAAAAAGCCCTGAGCTCCTGGAAGAGTTTCAGCAAAGCATTTTTAAAAGCCAGGGGAGGTGGGGAGTTGCAGAGTCTGTGATCAGCTCGTGAAGAATTCTCTGGCTAATGCTGAGGCACCAGGGTGGTGTCACAGAGGTTCATGTTCTCAGTCCTTAGGCTCCAAGAGGCTTGAGGCTATGGGCTCTGGTGTTAGGCAGTTAACATCCTCCATTTGGTACGGGGGAGGTTTTTTACATCTGCAAGACAACTCAGGAAATGTGGGCATGCTAAGTCCCTTCAGTTGTGTCTGACTCTTTGTGACCCCCATGGATGGTAGTCCACCAGGCTCCTCTATCCATGGAATTCTCCAGGCAAGAATACTGGAGTGGGTTGCCATTTCCTCCTCCAGTGGAGCTTCCCGACCCAGAGACCGAACCCAGATCTCCTGCATTGCTGGCAGATTCTTCACCATCTGAGTCACTGGGGAAACCCATTATATTCCTGAGTCTCCTGCTTCTCTTACATTGGCAGGCAAATTCTTTGCCACTAGTGCCACCAGCAAATGTGTATCAAATACTATTATCTAGGCACTTCAGAGAGGAGCTAAAGGAGAGGGTACGGGGGCAGGCCTGCCCAGGGAAGGCCCCATAGGATCCTGTTCAGTATCCAGAATGGTGCAAGGCATTTAGCAAAAATCTCATGAACATGGAATGTAGGAATTAACCCATTCAATGAAATGGCATTAAACTACACTTGGAATGCTATGGCCTCATCAATGGAATAAATGAAGGCAGTTTGGTGTCTATGAGTAGGGAAGGTCTCTGAGAATTGTCTTCTTGGGCCAGAATCCTGTTTTATGTGACTTTGTACAAATTACTTTTCTATGACCTAGATTTCTCAAAAGGCAACAGAAATAATAATAGTGCCTTCCCTACAGGGATTTTGTGAGAATTAAACCAAATATTGGACATAAAGCATTGCACATGGAAAGTGCTGGACAAAGTAATTGATCACAGATTATTACTAATATTATGATCATTTAAATTATATGATAAGAAAAATATTCATCTTGTCTTTAGATTTTTAAAATTTGCGTTTTTTTTCTCAATTTACTTTTCAAAAGGCAAAATCAGGGATGTCTTTCATGAAGGTACCATAAGCTCATCTGCTGTGATGGTGCTGGTGAACGCTGTGTACTTCAAAGGCAAGTGGGAGTCAGCCTTCACCAAGAGCCAGACCCAAAATTGCCATTTCAGATCCCCCAAGGTATGGAATTCTGTTTAATTTATGAAGGTTTTTGCCAATAATATGCCTTCACAGGGCTTTCCTAGTGACTCAGAGTAAAGAAACCACCTGCAATGCAGGAGACCTAGGTTCAATCCCTGGGTCGGGAAGACCCCCTGGAGAAGGGCACAGTAACCCACTCCAGTATTCTTGCCTGGAGAATCCCATGGACAGAGGAGCCTGGTGGGCTACAGTCCAGGGAGTCACAAAAAGTTGGACATGACTGAGAGACTAATACTTTCACTTTCACACAATAATCTTAGTAAAGTAGAAACGTCAAAGACTTAGTAGTCAGACATGCCATGTTAAGATCCTTACCTTGCTTCATAGGAGTTACCTTGTCTTAGCATATGAACCTTAAACCCATAGTCTTTCTCACAAGTAAAACCAAGTTATTCCATTAGTTCACCTAGAACATTCCTTTCAATGCTTTGGTCATCTGATTCGAAGAGCTGACTCATTGGAAAAGACCCTGATGCTGGGAAAGATTGAGGGCAGGAGAAGAGGATTACAGAGGATGAGATGGTTAGATATCATCACCAACTCAATGGACAAAAATCTGAGCAAACTCTGGAGATTAAGAAGGACAGGGAAGCCTGGAGTGTTGCATTCCATGGTGTACAAAGAGTTAGACATGACTTTGTGACTGAACAACAACAACAAATTCCTTTCAATCCTCAGTCTTTCATGTTGAAGCATAGAAATTCAGATTTAATGTTTAAACATAGTTTTATTTTTAAGTGGAAAATGCTATTGAAATGTTCTTTCTGCATCTTTCTATATCAGAAGTTTTAGACACAGGAGTGCGGAGAGCTCATGGAAATAAAAAATGACTGAGGAGTGAGGAGATGGGAAGTTGAGCAGAGTAGATCAGACGCCAGGAGGACTTGGAGTTTGGTGGCCTTTAGCACCTGCATGGAGGGCAGCCAGCCCTGCTGTGTGCCCTTAACTGCAGGGTCCCAAGAAGAGCCCAGCTCAGGAGCAAGTCTATAATGTAGGTGCCTCTATGAGAACTTAGAGAGGAGCATAGAAGTATTTTGAAAATCCTAAGTGAAAAAACTGAAACCTAATAAATACTAGTAAACCATAACTCTGTCTGATAAAGATGTTAGCTGTGTAATTACAAGGTGAAGCGTATTAGACAGTCCCAGAATTGTAATGGGGCTTCCCAGGTGGCGCTAGTGGTAAAGAATCCACCTGCCGATGCAGGAGATGCAGGAGACTCAGGTTTGATCCCTGGGTAGGGAAGATCCCCTGGAGGAGAGCATGGCAATCCACACCAGTATTCTTGCCTGGAAAATTCCATGGACAGAGGAGCCTGGCGGACTACAGTCCATGGGGTTGCAAAGAGTTGAACATGACCAAGTGCACACACACAGAATTTTAATGACAGAGGCTGACAGTGTTAATGGTATTTGGAAATGAGCTTTTATTTCCTACTCTTTCCTTCAACTCCTCTGGTAGACTGCATTTGTTAACTCATTTCCATAAATGAAAATGAAGCCTGACTCTTTCCTACACCATCTGTGGGGTTTTGTTTGTTTGTATTTTGCTCCTAAATAATGGCTTATTTAAATAAATATGAGTATGTGCAAATAAAATATCTGTAAGTATTAACATAAAGTATAATAACATTGTTTAAAATAATCTTCCTGACTATATCCCTTATAATAGAGTTCTAATATATAATTCATAATATAATATGCTGTAGAATCTATATCACTTGACAGCTTTGGTTCCATCCAAAATTGGTGAAGTCATCCCTTCGTTAAGAAGTCTGGTTTCCACCTTTCTCCAGCATAGCACAGCTGTGGGAATCGCCCCTGCCCTAGCTTGGAAATGAGACTTCGTGGCTCAGCCCCCGTGGTTCCAGAGTCAGGGGGAAGGCACCTGCCTGTCTCACTAGGAGAGAGAGAGAGCCTCACGCGTGCTCTTTCTGGGGTTTGGGTTCTTGGTCAAAAAGGACAACCTTTCTGGAGGAAGAAGAACCCATGATTCAAGCGTAAAATTTATCCACCCTTCTCTGTAGGATCTTCTTTCGTAAAGGGAGATTTTATACAAATACTGAAAAACTTGCAGAATCACAATATCTTTTAGGAAAGACAGTTTATTATATCTCTATTATGTTTCTAAATCTAGAAGTGGTAGCCTCAGGATAAGAGCTACAGTGTTTCCCTCAAGTTAATTTGTCAAATATTTCACAGGAATTAAAAAAAAGCTTTACAACACCCCATTATTAAATTGTTATTTTTATAACACTTGCCTGTATTTTACTTCTATAGAGAAAAATCTATAGCAATCACTTGAAATTATAATGCTATTTAATCATTATTCATGACAAGATATAGACATTTTCAGATAAAACACTAAATGCAAGGCAATGTTCCAAGTGCTAGCTATAGTAAGGCACATAATCTTTACAACAATCCTATGCAATAGAGACTATGTTTAGCTCCATTACAGAGATGAGGTGTAGAGACACAGAGAGGTGAAGTAACTTTCCCAAGGTCACACAGTTGGTGAGTTTTAAGCTCAGGTAGTTACTCTCAAAATCTGTGGTTTTACTCAAGATGTGGACCAACAGGACCGCCACTGGCAGCAAGTTGAGGACAATCCACTGGAAAGAAAAACCTGCAGCACTGTTCTCATTGCACTTGGTCAATAAACAGAATAAGGCGGGCTTTAATGTTGTTTTAATGACTTGACTTTCAGTGTCCTGGGAAAGCAGTGGCCATGATGCATCAAGAACGGAAGTTCAATTTGTCTGTCATTAAAGATCCATCCATGCAGGTTCTTGAGCTCAGATATCATGGTGGTATAAGCATGTACATAATGCTGCCGGATAATGACCTATCCCAAGTAAGTTACCACTGTTGCTCTCACTGCTGGGGAATAAGAAGACATCTAAGACCCTTGATTGTGTTCTTATTCATCAACTTCAAGATTTCAGGTTGTTAGAATTAGTCACTTACCCATTTGTTCATTTATTAATCCAAGATTTGTAAACTATGTTCCTATGAAAACTTTTCCTGTTATAAATCTGGAATAATCTATGATCAATTCTCAGTGTTAAGGAGTTGGTGAGTTCAATTTGTGAGTCACGTTGGGGCAGTGGTTTTGGACAGATATATGTGGCCCCTCACTCTGTCACTAGGGGCTTCCCAGATGGCTCAGTGGTAAGGAATCCACCTGTCAAGAAGGAGACATGGGTTCAGTCTCTGGGTCCAGAAGATCCCCTGGAGAAGGAAATGGCCACCCACTCTAGTGTTCTTGCCTGGAGAATTTCATAGACAGAGGAGCCTGGCGGGCTACAGTCCAAGTGTCTGCAAAGTCAGCATGACTGGGCACGCACACACGCATGCACTATGCCACTCACGGTCCCAGCTGTGCATCTTGGGCACATCTCCCCGCATTGTCTTGAGCTGCGGTTGTCACACGTGTGGAGTAGGAGAGTCAGTTTGTATCCGGATCTTCCAGTGTGGGCGCCTGCGCTGGGGGATGCTGATCGCACAATTCCGGAGGCTACAGCTCTGAGCTCCTTGCTGTTGGCTACCCAGGGTCCCACTGGTTTACTCCTGCATGTTGCGCAAATGTTATTTTCCATGTCTTTCATGAGGCAGAAATGGTCAGGAAACACTGATTCAAATGACTGCTGAGTTCCTTTCTCCCTCTCATGATCTCTGATTCCCAAATTCCTTCACTTGCTCACTGTTCCACTTGGTCTATATATGTTAATATGTGGGCAGAGAACAGAAATGCCTTGAAATATCAATACAAATAAACCACACCTTGTCATAGCAGAGCAAATTAAACATATGATTCATTCAAGAGTACTTGAGCCATTTGTTTTAATCATTTCCCATTTCCAGACTCCCCTGGCACCCTTTCACATACTTACAAGCAAATATCCAGGAGAGAATTGTTAGGGAAAACCATATACCTCTGTAGCTATTGTTTCATTTGTTTCTTAACCATATGGTTCTAAGTTGCCTTGTAACTATTTCTACAGATTGAAAACAAACTGACTTTTCAGAATCTAATGGACTGGACCAATCCAAGAAAAATGAAATCTCAGTATGTCGAAGTGTTTCTACCTCAGTTCAAGATAGAGAAGAATTATGAAATCAAGCACTACTTAGAAGCCCTAGGGCTGAGAGATATCTTTGATGAATCCAGAGCTGATCTCTCTGGTATAGCTGCAGGAGGCCGTCTGTATGTATCAAAACTGATGCACAAGTCTTACATAGAGGTGACTGAGGAGGGCACAGAGGCCACCGCTGTCACAGGAAGCAACATCGTAGAAAAGCAGCTGCCTGAGTCGAGTGTGTTCCGAGCTGATCACCCATTCCTATTTATAATCAGGAAGGATGACATCATCTTGTTCAGTGGCAAAGTCTCTTGCCCTTGAAACTACAACTGGTTTTTATTAGAACAGAAGCAACAACATCAAGGAACCACCACAAGGAAGTAGATTTAAGTTTAATTGGAAGCATGTGATGATTCTTCTAGGTTTACTTCCTTCTAACATTGATCAGCGGAAGATTTGGGTGACTTGATTTGACCTGGTTGATTGTCCTGATCTTGCTCTTAGCATTTCTACCACCATCAGGCCCACCTCTTTCTAATTTCATTGTCTTTCTATCCACACTGATTTCTACCAGTCTTCACCATAGCCACTTGCACAAAGATCTGGGTATACTATCTGGGAACAGTGGAATGCTCTACCTGTAATGTTAGGGTAGTAATGTAGAAGCAGCCCTAGGGATATTTTTTGAGACTCTCCTGCATGTTGCGCAAATGTTATTTTCCATGTCTTTCATGAGGCAGAAATGGTCAGGAAACACTGATTCAAATGACTGCTGAGTTCCTTTCTCCCTCTCATGATCTCTGATTCCCAAATTCCTTCACTTGCTCACTGTTCCACTTGGTCTATATATGTTAATATGTGGGCAGAGAACAGAAATGCCTTGAAATATCAATACAAATAAACCACACCTTGTCATAGCAGAGCAAATTAAACATATGATTCATTCAAGAGTACTTGAGCCATTTGTTTTAATCATTTCCCATTTCCAGACTCCCCTGGCACCCTTTCACATACTTACAAGCAAATATCCAGGAGAGAATTGTTAGGGAAAACCATATACCTCTGTAGCTATTGTTTCATTTGTTTCTTAACCATATGGTTCTAAGTTGCCTTGTAACTATTTCTACAGATTGAAAACAAACTGACTTTTCAGAATCTAATGGACTGGACCAATCCAAGAAAAATGAAATCTCAGTATGTCGAAGTGTTTCTACCTCAGTTCAAGATAGAGAAGAATTATGAAATCAAGCACTACTTAGAAGCCCTAGGGCTGAGAGATATCTTTGATGAATCCAGAGCTGATCTCTCTGGTATAGCTGCAGGAGGCCGTCTGTATGTATCAAAACTGATGCACAAGTCTTACATAGAGGTGACTGAGGAGGGCACAGAGGCCACCGCTGTCACAGGAAGCAACATCGTAGAAAAGCAGCTGCCTGAGTCGAGTGTGTTCCGAGCTGATCACCCATTCCTATTTATAATCAGAAAGGATGACATCATCTTGTTCAGTGGCAAAGTCTCTTGCCCTTGAAACTACAACTGGTTTTTATTAGAACAGAAGCAACAACATCAAGGAACCACCACAAGGAAGTAGATTTAAGTTTAATTGGAAGCATGTGATGATTCTTCTAGGTTTACTTCCTTCTAACATTGATCAGCGGAAGATTTGGGTGACTTGATTTGACCTGGTTGATTGTCCTGATCTTGCTCTTAGCATTTCTACCACCATCAGGCCCACCTCTTTCTAATTTCATTGTCTTTCTATCCACACTGATTTCTACCAGTCTTCACCATAGCCACTTGCACAAAGATCTGGGTATACTATCTGGGAACAGTGGAATGCTCTACCTGTAATGTTAGGGTAGTAATGTAGAAGCAGCCCTAGGGATATTTTTTGAGACTGTAGTTTTTATCACAGATATTCTAGTTTCATTGCAAATATCTAGGAAGTAGATCCAGCTGCTGGAAATAAGTATCAAGGATAAGTTTTCCTTGCTGAGCTAAGAAGACATCAGAATTGACTTTTAATATATCTGGTTTGAAATTAGTATCTAATCTAGATGCTAAAAATTATGGATTTAGGATTGGGAACCAGCAAAATATTTCATCAATAATTTTGAGTTGACACCTTTCAGCCTTTCCTTGATAGAGATTTGATGTGTACATAGTTTTTCAAATATTAGTGTCTTTTAACTTTTGCCAGTTGTTTATAGCGTATTATTTCATATGCTGTGTAGTTTGTTTTTTTCTTTATTTATCAGAATAAAGAAATACAAAATAATTATACCTTGTGATTGTTCTTGGATGAATTGTGGGAGTATTGGCACTCTTTTCTAGGCCAAGCAAGCAATTAAAAGAAAGAATGCTTTTTTAATATAAATATGATTTGGTCAATGTTGCTATTTTATTACACACAAAAGTTACTTTTACAGATACATAAGCAGATCATTTAATTTAAAATTAAATATTAGGATTTAAGTTCATAAGGTTACATAATTTGCATATATGCAGTTCAGTTCAGTTCAGTTGCTCAGTTGTGTCCGACTCTTTGCATCCCCATGAATTGCAGCACACCAGGCCTCCCTGTCCATCACCAGCTCCCAGAGTCTACCCAAACCCATGTCCGTTGACTCAGTGATGCTGTCCAGCCATCTCATCCTCTGTTGTCCCCTTCTCCTCCTGCCCCCAATCCTTCCCAGCATTAGGGTCTTTTCCAATGAGTCAACTCTTCGCATGAGGTGGCCAAAGTACTGCAGTTTCAGTGTCAACATCAGTCCTTCCAATGAACATCCAGGACTGATCTCTTCTAGGATGGACCTGTTGGATCTCCTTGCAGTCCAAGGAAATCTCAAGAGTCTTCTCCAACACCACAGTTCAAAAGCATCAATTCTTTGGCGCTCAGCTTTCTTCACAGTCCAACTCTCACATCCATGCATGATTACTGGAAAAACCACAGCCTTGACTAGATGGACATTTTTTGGCAAAGTAATGTCTCTGCTTTTAAATATGCTATCTAGGTTGGTCATAACTTTCCTTCCAAGGAGTAAGCGTCTTTTAATTTCATGGCTGCAGTCACCATCTGCAGTGATTTTGGAGCCCCCCAAAATAAAGTCTGACACTGTTT